GACCTGCCAGTCATTCTCGTTCAAGCTAACGGTGGTGTTGACGAAAGTATTGTTACACAAACAGCATTACTTCAAGGCGCCCCCGCGGCCCCGAAATAATTATTACAGATGAATTTTTTTGCAATATTCCTTATCTATCTGTTCATTTCGGTAGACTGGTACTTGGTCGTGCGTTTGTACTCACAGAAAATTGAGCGCGATGGCTCATACGACCCTCCCTTTCAAAAAAAAACGAGAAAAAGCGTCGAGTGCAGACCACACACCACAAACGACGACGGCTTTCAAAAGACGTATGTTTTCGGCCACTGAAATGTTTAGCTTGTTGCGGTTGTATTTTATCAGTTGTCACTGATTACACTATATTAACCCAAAAATCAGCTGTCACAATGAACCACTACTAAGCCAGAACTTTGAGGTCGTCGTCACTTGTGGTGCATGGTCTGCACCCGACACTCTTTTCGTTTTCAGAAGGGAGAGTGAGATATTCTGGATTGGGCTCCATTCAAGGTTCTTTGGGACCATCAGCACGTCCTTTTTTGCACAAATGCCAGCCCTTCTAATTCTTTATCATTCAAGATGATGAGTATTTTTTCGTATAATGGAATACACAAACATCGAAAAGTCGTCGTAATAGCAAGGTAAACCGTCAAAGGCTTCTGAGGTTCTGAGCAGAAGTCTTAAGCTTGGGCTCACCTAAAGATTTACGAAAAAGTAGAAATCACATGCATCAAAGAAACATCCGAGGTAAAAGAAGGGTAAAAAGTGTTCCTGTGTTGTTAATCCTCCGCTCGCTTGACTTTGCTCTGAAATGAAAAGCCATGAGAGTCAGAGGCTTGAACATTTTATGTAATGGATCGTCGAAGCGAGATGGGAGGTGATGACGAGGACATGAAATCACTTCACATTTGTTCATCAATACTTACTCATCGTTGCGTCACATCATGCTAGGAAGTGATTCCAGCAGCGTTTGAACCTTTTCTGTGAATAAGGACGTGGGGTCTATTCCAGTTAGGGGGGCATCATGATGCAGTTTCTCGGCGAGCTAATGTAAACTCGAACATTCCAGCTTCTCACGCATGTCAAGTGACTGCCCTCACCCCCACCCCCTAGGCTGGCTACACTCCCCCTGGCTCAGAGTTACCGTAGCTTTTTGGGAGTCACCGCACCATGATGCCCCCTAACTGGAATAGACCCAGGAACATGTTTTTATGCCCTGAAAGAATTTCAACAATACTTGGCAAAAAGAGCGTGATTGAAAAAAATGTGAGTTTTCTGAAAATCGATTAGTGAACCCGAGGCAGGTTCACTTTTCTAGAAAAGTTGTGGTTCCAGATATCCAGATCCCGGCGTTGTTCTTGTTGCTCTGCAGAAGGCTCACTAATTAGAATCAAAATGTAGGGGATAAGGCGGAACCTTCAGCCCTTCCATCATTTCGTGAGTGGTGCGTAACTCAATACAGATGTCGGACAGGCAACGCGCGCCATACCCCCCCTCCCCCTCACTTGGTTAGTGTTTTTGTCATCGTGTCCTGGTCAGTCAGAAATCGCTAGTGAAAACATGCCAAGAGAAAAGTAATAGTAGGTATTGGATCCCATATGTTCGGAAAACTCGTCCGGACAATGTCATGCGAGGCTCCGTCGCCGCTGTGGAAAGATGGAGAGGATTATTTCGGCTCCGTTTGTGGTCCTTTCCCGTTTTTCTCTACCTGAACTACATTTTTCGTCTCTGCGGTCACTTCATTGCGGCACAGCATCCAAACACGACTGACCCTTGCCTTTAACCAACCTCGAAGAAGACTACCATTCAGTTGTTTGCCCTATTAGTGAGCTCGGGGTCATCACGAGCATGTAGCTACTTGTAGCACAGTAAAAAGTGCGGAGTTGCAAAACGGCTGGAGTTCTTTATATACTAACCAGGAAATGTTTTTGACTTCCCATGGAACTTTGAAAGGAGACCTATGAACATCGATAGAGTTTCGGACGCTGAGTACAAATATGGACATTAAAACTGCTACGTGAACTTTATAAGAAAGTTACGAGCATTCAAAGTTGGCAAAAAACGTTACTGAGGCGAGCTCACCTGATGAAATCACGGATGCTTTTTGTCTGGTTTCTTGTTCTATAAGGGTTAGTGGGTGCCCTGATTACGAATTTGATACTCGTTTTTAGCGCAGAGCCACGGCGAGCGTGATTCCATCAGGTAAGCCTACCTCAGTAACGTTTTTGCCAACTTTGAATGCTCGTAACTTTCTTATAAAGTTCACGTAGCAGTTTTAATGTCCATATTTGTAATCAGCGTTCAAGACTCTATGGAGTCATCTAGGTCTCCTTCCAAAGTTCCATGGGAAGTTCAAAGCATTTCCTGGTAAGACGTATGAAATATTAGGTATTTTTCATGTCCCCTGTGTTCCCGTCCTCTCAAATACAATCGGATTTAGCAGAGTAAAACAGCTTCAGTTGATATGACCCTTATTTCAAATTCACGTAGGGGACTCGTCGAAATTATTTGCAGATGTTGTAGGACGTCCGTTCGAACTCGTTTGTAATAGATCATAGAACAGTGACTTGCTTTATCCTTCCTTACTTGGACCGAAAAATGTCGAAATTCAGGCGTTATAGAGTTATACGGGGACCTACTCCAGGCAGGGTCAACCGTCCGTTGGACAAAGTCCAACGCGACGACGAGAGTAATGCCGAGAGTGAACGTACGCACGGAGACACAGACGGCTCGCGGGTGGCGAGAGTGAATGCCGGCGCGGAGAGCGGTCAACATCGGTCCAACGTCGCTCCAATATCGGTCCAACGTAACGGTTGACCCTGCTCCAGGACTGAGCCTAGAAGTGGCAGGAAGCTCCAGGGAGAATGAAAAAGACCTCCACACCCCTTTTCTCTTCAAGGGCGTCTTTCGCCCCCCTAAGGCTATAAACCACCGGTTACCCCCCCCCCCCCCAAAAAAAAAAAGGCATTTGCACGCAGTTTTGAATATTTTGCCGTGAAAGTGCCCCAGTATATTGCGATAGCGCTACAAAAGCGCTCTAATCTGAATAGTTGCGACTTGCTGGAAGATGAAAGTTCGCTCGGGCTAAACGAATTTTTCATACCCTCCAGGTGTGCTAATAGGAAGCACATGTGTAGCGGTGACGCAGGTCGATAACAAGTAGCGCCGTCGTGTATTGCCATTCCTTCATCATCCCGCCTGTTCTCTAATCTCACCACTCGATAAAAAGGCAAAATGGCCTTCAAATACCCTATTGGTATGGGTATCGCTGGATGGCGAGGCGTTCTGGGCTTCCACTAACAAGGCAGATCTTCCAAAGTGGAGAGACCGAAATCAACGTTTGCTGAGCGGCCTCTTGAAGGCCAGGAAATGGTGAAGAAATGGTTCGAGGCTCGATCTCGTGGTTACAAAATTTTGCATTTTAGGTTGGAGCTCCCAGATCAGCTTCAAATAGCGCCAGCGCCAGTAGTAGGTGACATAAATCACCAGCGCCGGGAAACTCTTTCCTAGAATCCTATACACCTATACATTATCGCTTCAACGCTGTAAAATCACCCACACTACGCAAATTTTTCGATACTCCTTTTTTTACCTCCACGGCCGCTCTCAGGATAATGAAACTCGGTTTTGTAGTCCACGTCTAAGCCCCTACAGCATGCAAAAGACCGTTTCAAAAAAGGTCTACTCACCCTGAAAACCTCCCTCGAAAGCGTAGGAACCGTTGGGGACAGAGACGTGACGACACTGCATGCGCATATTTGAAAAAGATTGGAAGAGCGTCAGCATGTAACTCGTATAAATGTCGCACACTGCAGCCGCGCGCTGACACACCGCAAGTTGTACTCGGGTCGCGCCGCTGACCCCAGGGGATGCCGCCCAACAAAAATTCGCCTTCTACGCACAACCTAGTATTGTCATTGAAATGACTGTTAATTTAATTTAATTTAGCTCACGTATTTTTTGTTTAATTTTATGTTCATTCCAGACACTAATGAGTCTTTCCTTCCTGTTTATGTCGTGTAACATTTATTCTGATCTATGGCTTGGTCTCTCGCTGAATGGCCGCGCCTATGCTGCACTGGATCACACCAAATTTCTCGGTGCCTCGGTAAGTCTCATAGTCCCTTCAACAAACAGACATGGAGAACGGTTTGAAATCGCTGAACGGATGAGCTACTGCTATTGGATCGGAAAAAAGTTTATTTCGCAGAACTCTATTAGAAATATGTACGTGGCCATTGTGGGCGGTAACATCTGAAATCGTCGCAAAACATCTCACTTTATTCTTAGAAACTGGTAGCATACTTCAAACAAGGAGGACGATTTTCTTATAATAAAGATAAAGGATAAAGCATTTGCCGTTGATCAATCCCTTTTTGGGATGCGGCACGCATTCTACTTCCATTTGTACATTCGTAGTGGCGTTTGAATGCGATGTGGCCTATACAATGACTTGCGGGGCCAGCCGATGTACAAGTCAGTGTTTTTATCCTCCCAGACAAGTCTGGTACCAATTAACCGACCCCGGAGGGATGGAAGGCTTGGTTGGCCCGGGCGACTCACGACCCAGGATTTGATCCCGGACCGCTCGCGTGTGAGCGCCACTTGTCACTACACCACTTCCGCCCCTAACTTCGTATAATGCAAGCAATTTTCATTTCTCGCAGTTTCTGTCCCTGCTATGTGTAGCCCGAAAGCAAACCCGTATCCTACAGCAGCGCTCGAAAAATTTAATAGGAGGTTGAGAATTTGCAAGCGGTAGATACCAATGCCGGTAGACACGTTATATGATGCTCGGCGCCAAAAATGGAGCTGAAAGGTCAACCCTATGTTGTTACTAAGTAACGAACGGGGGGGTCGTACTTGTTGAGTTTGTGAGGAGGGGTCGTACTCGTTCAGTCCGCTTAACAAATCACATGCGTAGTTTTGAGGAGGCTTGATAGTGAAGTAAAATGACGATATACTAAGGAAATTTTTACTTGGTTTGAAGAGTACCCGTCTATATTTTGAGAGTACTACTAAACCTCCCCCTCCCCCGCTCGACGGCTTTTTTGGAGGAAAAAGTGGGCGGAGTTTGGTGGGTTGAGTGGTATCAGAATTAAATACTATAGAGTGGCCGAGATGTGGAAAAGGGGGTCGTATCAAATCCACCTTGGGGGAGGGAGGGTCGTGAAAATTTTTCAAAAAGTAACAACGATAGGACCTGACTGGAAAGCGCTAAGTGATCTAGCACTTGCACGCAAGAACTATAAGAGGCTTCCGAAAAAATAGAATAATATGTTTTCTTTGATCTGATTTGACGAGACATGCAGGAGAGAGGCATTCGGCAACAATACAACACCACTCTCCGCTGTAGAAGCGGTCATGTGCGGTTCACAGATCAACTGCACCTTCTTTTCTATGGTTCTGGCGCGCTACGGCATATACGATGAGAAGGATGCCTGCTGCGGCTTCAAAACCCAAAATATAAGAACGATAACTGAATTGGAGAAGGTTGTATCTGCACTTCGTCGAGCTAAGGGACCTCAGTGGTCACACTCTTTTGAAAGATTATTCTCATCCTCCTATGACATCGCTGTAGAGTTAATAGTTGTGCTATGTGACTAATCCTTGTAGAATTGGAATAGTGGTGGGCGGGCTATTCCCTCGAAGTCCGCCTCTTCCTAAAGAAGGTGAAAGCTCCGCGTCGTCGGCCTCATAAGGTAATTACCAATCTTGGTTGGAAGGTCAGTCACTACACTATACGTATACTGAAAACTATGCCAAGATTCATTCAAAGTCGAACTTGGACAGTGTGGCAAAAGTTTGAATGTGTGAGAGCACAGCGGTCATGAGCCCCTGTCAGGCGAGGGAGCGTAGGCGAGCAGCTCAAGTTGACGGCGATTTAACACCTTGGAGCCCACGCAGCCCATATGTGGGCTGCAGTCCTCCGACCGCATAGGACCTTTCAGCTCGCATTTCGTAAACAATTATTAGGTTTTTCATTCATTTTCTTTTCCATTTTATCCGATAAGATTTCTTCTGCATTATACAGTGGGTTCTTCTTTTAAATTTGCTAGATAAGATCCCTAAAAATTTCACCGAAGTCCCGCGCGGCCGCGGAACGTAAAACACGCGCGGTCTCCAAAGTGTTAAAGAAGCAGCCCAAGTTGTCCATAGACGGTCTACGCATAGCGGAGCATTGGAATGGGATGTTAGGAAAGCTGCTCACGTCACTTTCTCAGTCGCAAGTTTTTCCTCCCCACCGGGAAACTGCTTGAATACTTTTTCTTCTATTTTTTTCCATTTTTTACAAAGTACCTTTGGGGTGCTCGACACCTGCCCCGTCGTGCCTAGTAGGATGGCCCACCAGCGGCAGGCGCTGCTGTTTATTCCCCCCCCCCCCCGCCCTCTAAAGAATTATTGTGCATAGGCCGCCGTGTATCTGTGCCACTTGGTGATACGGTAATAACGAGCCCTAGGACTGAGTGAGCTTAGCGGCTCATGAAAACAGAGCCAATCCGCGCCGCGCCACGCCCCTCTCCAATCAAGTTAGCACCCACATTTGCCCCTTGAGAGTTATTGTACACATTATTTCGAAGTTTCCAAAGATGCTAATCTGACTACACATTGTGTAGGATGAATGTTCAAGAGTACTGCTTTCATAGCATCAACTGCGTGAACGGTCATATAGTACTACTACAATCAACTTTTGACTGAATCTACAATTTTCAGAGTACTTCTTTTTTTCTTTTCAGATTGGACAATGGATTATTCAAAACATGGCGCATCCAAATGTTGTGGCTCTTGGAGGTAAAATAATGACGGTTGCGTGTTTGATAAGAATTGCGGCTCGATCCTGATTCCACAAGGATGAAAATATAAGCTTCTCCTTGCAAATCGTCCATTATTTCCCACTCACTAAAAGTTATGTCATCATTTTCCATCCAATACATCACAATTCCACATCAAGTTTCCTCAGAATGTCAGATTTTTTGTACAATAATATGCTACTACTAAAATAATAGTATTATATATACTAATGAATAAAGCTCTGTAACATCATAACGTCAGCGTTTTCCCAAAAACGTACAAAAATGTTCCATTGTCAACAGTTTACTGGAAATCTTTGCAGTGTTTCCCAACATGAACACGTCAGGTGTGATCAAGAGATAACATACACAGGTTTCATGCAACAAAGAGTCAATTTACGAAAAGAGACAAATTTACGAGAACTACACACGGGGACGATCGAGGGTAGGTCGGGCGGAGACAAGGGAACGCTGGGAAGGAAAGAAGTGCATTTTGAGGTGTCAACGTATAGGGACGCCTTGAAAAAATCGGTGCAATGGTTCGAATTTGAGAATAAACAACAACAAAACAACGAGAGAAATTGGAATACAGTAGAAAAGAAAAAAAATATTCACTGCATAGGTGGATAAGGCCCGAAAATCTCCTAAAGTAAAAGCCGCGAAACATTTGGTCGTATCGCCACCAACATTGTGACAGATGTCCGGCGAGAATTCAGAGACACGTAACTCTTTCTGTGTTTTCCTTTTGTAGACTTTTCCCTTGTTATCTGTGAAATGAATAGGTCTCGAGCCAGTGATTTGTGGGCGAGATAAAGTCATGATTTTCCCGAGAACGATTCCTCAGAGCATGCAAAAATGATTTTCGATATTGCACGAGGGTGAGTTCAGTTAAAAATCGCACGAACTGAAGCTGCTCTGACGAAATTCGCGTACAACATGGATATTTAAGTGGTCACGGTTGGAATACGAGAACGGCGCACAAAAGTTTCGGAACGCATCGTTTTGTACTCCTTCTGACTAGTAAAGGACGCCATTCGTTACGGGTCCCACTGCCTCCTGCTACAGTGAACCCTTCAATGTGGAGCGGGGAATCCGTGAGCCAGGGGCAGTGTCGCCAGTCTAGGGGGGTGGGGGGTGAGGGCAGTCACTTGACATGCGTGAGAAGCTGGAATGTTCGAATTCAACCGCGATCGCATGGGATCCCCGCGGGTTAAGGCAGTGGGTCCCGCAACGAATGGCGCCCTATACTAGTCAGTAGGAGTACAAAATGATCACTCCGTTCGCTATGTGATAAAACACGCAACCGCAAAAATTTCTAGGAATGCAGTCATCTTTTGCTCACATGTATCTCATTACATAAAGAAACGAGGAATGTAACCCTTCCCTTTCAAAAAGCGAGAAAGTGTCGGGTGCAGACCATGCACCACAAGTGACGACGGCCTTCACAAAATGTTAATGTTTTCTGCCAATGAAATGATTAGCCTGTTGCAGTTGTATTCTATCGATTGTCACTAATTACAACTATCATTTACCAGAAATCAGCTATCACTATGAACAACTTCTAACCAGATTTACTTGGAGGCCGTCGTCAGTTGTGGTGTTTGGTCTGCACCCGACACTTTCTCGCTTTTTGAAGGGGAGGTTATATCAAGCGGGCTTCCGACAACGATGTTAAGATGACCAAAAAATTCGACACAATTCCAGAAGCATTTTTAAACCCGTCCAAAATATACGAAAGCGCAGAAATCCGATCAGCCTCAGAGTCTATCACGCGGGGACGTTCTTTTACGTTGAAGGCACGCCACAGGATCAGAGTGGTGTGGTTCTTGCACGCGAAGATGGAAGCATTAGGGCGAAACGGGCCGCCACTGACAGCAGACGACAGATTACGCTCATGTCCTCGGATGGGTGGGGGGGGGGAAACTTCAAAACAAGGCATTCAAAAATCGGTGGTAGGTGACACTAGGACTAAGCCCAAGAGAGGGCAGAAACCAGGGAAATCAAAAATTGCTCACATCCTCCCCAGAATCCTTTTCCTTCCTAAGGCTCAGTCCCGAGTACTGTAAGTGGCTCACTCGTTCGAATGTCCTCCCCCCACTTCTGCGACATTGCGTCGAAAAAGGAACAAAACTTGCGTTTCGGGGAACCTGACCTACTTCTCCCAACGCCTACTACTCGAGCCGTTAACTGCGAACTCACATCCACGTTACTTTCATAAGTTTCTCAGCAAGTAATGCCCGCAGCAATTATACTTCAGGAGCAGCCGCCCTAACCTTATTAACAAGGAAATACGCCACTCAAGAGCTCACCTGCACTGGATTATAATCCTTCGAGAGGCCTACTTTTTGAAAAAAATGGAGCATGTGAGGGCGGGTGTTTTGTGCCCACTGAGGATCGTCTTTCCCCTGTTTTTCCAGGAACAGGTAAAGGTGAAGTTTAAAGTTTCTGATCTGGGAAAAGGTGGCATGAAGCTCCTAATGGTGATTGATTACCTGTATGTAATGAAAAGTTCCCCACTCAGTGACGAATCAAGGGCGAAATTCCACGTATTCCACACCCTTGCATTGTGCAGTAAACGGATTGCAGGGAGACAGACGCTGAGCTGAACTTGCCACATGTTCGGTGAACGCCCTTCCGCTGACGCATGACGCACCATTCTTTGTAAAATTCGACTCAGCAGTCCCTCATCTCGGGATTATTCCCATGTTTTCAAAGTAAGACAATGACGACGGCGGCTTCTAGAATCGATCTCACAAGAATATTTGGTCATTAACAAAGCTTTCGCCCCACGCGAACTCGAACCTGTCGCTTACCGGGGCACCGTTTCACTTTAGCGCAGTTGAGCTCACGTCAGACTTTCGCGAGGCGAACTGGGCCAAACAGAAGCTAAAACAAGATTTCTGCAAAGCGTACATAGACTTTTTATGGGGAATGTTTTACCGCTGTATCATTCATGTCAGGTTTCAATTCCCGCTGCGGCTTCCCATCTGTTGGAACTGACTGAATCAGAAAGCTTCCCCGACATAGAAAAATCCCTGAAGGTGTGGGTGCAGATGTTTGGTGGCTCTTGTAGCCAAATTAGCATGATTCAGTGTTCGTTTGTAGCTTGTGTTTGTAATCAGAGCTCGAACCCCTCAAAATTTGATCGCTGATCTCCTCAGTGTCAGGGTTCCGAGAATCGCTGGTCATTAACAGCATTCAGGTCTAGTAACCTGCCCAACTATCAGTCCCCTGAATCTACTACTTTCCAAGTGAATCGCTCTATTTCCTCGCCGCCTTTTTCGCACACCATCCTCCCATGGAACACTATGTGAATACCATGCCGCCCCCAGCCTCTTCCCATCCGCATCCACCGCGCTTCGCCAACCTATGCTCTACAGCCTTCCCCGACTTTTCTGTGGCCCAGTTATGCCTCGCGCCTGACCTCCGTTCACTCCTCTCGCGCCGTGACTGGTGTGGAGCGGCCCATTCCATTCCCTCTGCACTTGTTTCTCCGCCGGCGCCATAAACCTCACCGAATTCCACCAGCTCCAATCCTCCACTTCCAGGTGTGGTAGCTACGTAGGCTCAATATCGATGCTGGCATCAAAAGAGGGAGGGATTGCTGACACTTTACAGAGAATGGGAAATGTAAAGTGCAGTGATTGCTCGTTACGTCGTGACGCCATCTTGTGTCTGCGATGATGCACGAACTGTCGGAAGCTCTTCGCCAAAAGTGCGACGAATGTCTTTTGTTAATCAAGCTTGGAACTTATTTTACGGGCTGAAAAATTAATCTCTTTCTCGATCTGAATATGTTGTTTCCAGGATTTGGATTTTGTATCGTTGAAGATTATGTATGAAGTGAGCTTACTAATATAACTCCTATCCAAGAAAAATTGCCGAAAAGGTGTTAGTGGAAGGTAGCGTCATTCACCAAGCGCGCGATACAAGAATCAAATCCAGGGTCGTTCCGTGCAGGTCAACTTTCCCCCTTTGCTCTCAAATACTTGGAATACTTGTCTGAGAAGGTAGAAACCTCTGACAGATGAGTAGGAAACGTTGGGTCGCCGCACGCGCAAGTCTTGATAGTAGCCAACTAGCAAACTTACAAAAGATACCATGCATTGGAAATGGGTCTAGGATGCGTGGCGCAAGTAGAAAGAAACTAATTAACGCTGATTGAATTGAATGCGAACGAGAATGACCACCTTTCCAGATAGGATCCCATTGCAACACCAATTAAAATAAGTCTCATTCACTGGAGGACACTGCAGTGCATGTACTGCACGTGAGATCCGATGTTCCAGTTTAAAGGAATCTTCCACGGAAAGAATGTTTATCCTTCCTTGTGTACAGGTGTTGGGCATGGTCACTGAAGACCATATGCAAACGTTAAGGGCGAAATGATGAGAACCCCCCCCCTCTAAGAAACAGCCCATGGAAAGACCCATCTGTGGGACCGGATTGGCAATAGGCGGAACCGGTGCTTACTGTGACGGAAGTGAGGGCGTGGCAGGTGCGGACTCAACGTGTAGTTCTGAAGGGCCAACATGAATCCAATTTCACAGTTCACTCCTTGTTGACATACGGGTTTCCACGTGTTACTCAGCGACTAACAGTTGGGATTTTTACAGCGGGAATTCAAAATTTCATAGTCGAACTGGTTATCATAATTATTATCGAAACCATCGCCTATGTTCCGTTCTTTTTGCTATCTTCATGAAGCTGAGGGGGGCTGAGGTGTCGTTTTTTTTTGTAGGAATGGAGGCGATGTTTTTCCGTGGAAGATTCCTTTAAGCATGGCTCCAGTCCCTCTGTAAGGTAAACCTTGAGCATGGGAAAGCAAGCAAATACTGATGTCAAAATCGCCCGGCCCCGCTGATTTCGGTATGTGACAGATTGGGACAGAGATCTTGAGAACTAGTGGGATGCCTAATACATTGCACATCGCTGGCAGAGCAACCAGTGCTTACCGTTGTGGAGGCTATACTAGTCGTTGTGGGACATACCCAAATCGCAGTGAAGGAATAGCGTAAGAAGCGAGTCCTAAGCGGGCTGTTGTAGAAATC